TTCCATTTTTATGCTAACTCGGGTGTTTTTGTTCATTTTCTAAAGTGTTAGGGTGGAAATTGAAGTCGCTGATGTGAGAGTTTTATACCTTAGCAATTAGTGCTATATTTCCTTTTAAGTACAGTGTTAAACCTTTTGATATTCCGTGGTTTTTCATTCAAATACTTTCTGTTTTCCCTTTCTGGTATCTCTTGACTAATGGATTGCTAAAAATTGGGCTATTTAGGTCCAAATATTTGGGGATTTTCCAGTTATGTTTGTTATTGTTTGCTAATTTAATCTGTTCTGGTCACTAAAACATTTTGTACGACTTGAACCCTTTTAAATTTTAAAGCCTACCATATGGTCTGCGTCGGTCAACGTGCTTTGTGCATTTGAAGAGAATGTATATTCTGTCCTTGGGTGGAATGGTTTCAAAGTGCCCATTAAGTCAAGTTAGCACGTCGTGTTGTCTAGGTTTTCAGTATCCTTGCTGACTTTCTGTCTCCTTGTTCTGTTGAGAGATGCATGTCAAAGTCTCGTCATTGTGGATTTGTCCGTTTCTCCTTAGAACGCCGTCAGTCCTTTCTGCAACTTCAGGTGATTTCCACGCACACACGTCCCGTTCAGATTCCAGCTAAAAACTAGAGTTCTTACTCAGGTAAAGATGCTGCAGGTGTCGGGGTTGTTTTTCCTCTAAGAGCCCTGAGGCACTTAATCCTGTGAACTCCAACCTCCTCAGCCTCTTCATTTCCCAGCGCCATCGCCTCCACTCAGAGACCACACACAGCCTTGGAAATAACGCATGTGGTTCCCTGGGGGAATCATAGTCCCGTATTCCCCTCACTCGTTTCCCATTTCCCATGGGCCTGTTTCGTTGCCCAGTGACCAGTCTCTTCAACACCAAGGTTTTATAGATTTTGTTAGTATTTCAGGTGGGAAGGTAAACTATTCCCTCCAATTCCATCTTCACCGGAAGTGCAGATCTCATAGAGCATTTAGCGAGGGCAGGGACCACTGTGGGTCTAGGGTTTATATTTTTTTAAAAAAGTGTTGTAATTAACATTCTTCTACATACGCTTTTGTAAGGTTTTACCAGTATTTTTGGAGGATAAATTGGTAGATCACAAGATAGACGTATTTTAAGATATTGCCAACTTGCCTTTGCTCTTCAGACGAGGATCTAGAATGAAGGCTTCTTAGAGGAATTTTAAGCACCTTCATCCCACCATGTTGGGTTATATTAGTCTAGTTTTTTCAGAGTTCCTTCTGCCTACGTTTTCTCCATTGTGCTGCTCTTATCAGAGGGAAGAGTTCGCCAAAGATCCTGGCATGTTCTTTAGTGTGGCCCTAACTGCTGTTTCTGTATTCGCCTTTTCATAATGTGTGATATGAGGTGGTATCACTTTCCTATTTCAATGATGCTGGCATGTTTATTTTTATTTAATTTGGCTCCCCCACCCCCTTTTTTTTTAGTAGAGGAAATTGGGTAAGACGGACTCTACCAGTAATCCATAGAGCCTCTGCAAGGCTAGATTTTCATTTTGGAATGAGTAGAGTTCTACCTGGTCTAGCTATTCTTCCTGACCCTTCTGCAAGGCTAGAATTTTAAAATGAGTTCTACCTGGTCTAGCTATTCTTCCTGACCCTCTCTTTTCTGCTTGTTTGGTGCCTTTGCCATTGTTGGGAGATACACTGTGTGCTATTTGTTAACTGCAAAAGAAATTCTTGGTTTGGCCCAGGAAAATTCTGGTATCGACAAGTTGCCGTTCACAAAAGGTTCTGTAATTCATTTTTCTTCACTCAGCACATAGAGCATCTCCTTTCATTTGCTTTTGCAGTGTAAATAATTCACTGGTTTAACTTGTATTTCTTCTGATCCTACTGAGATTGAGTACTTACCACATGTTCATCAGTCACCTGTTGCCTCTTCATACCCTTTGCCCATGGCGGGAGGAAGTGCCATTTTCTAAGTGATTGTAGGAGCACTTGTGTGTTAAGAATATGAATTTCATGGGTTAATGATTCCCTCTAATTCTGTTTAAACCTTTTGTTTGTACTGTCTTTGACTCTATACCTAATAAAGTTCTTACACAATCAAACCTAGAATCTTTGTGCGTGTGGCTTCTGGATCTCCTGTCATTTAGGAAGATTGTTCTTGCTCTATAAAGTATGTTCCCATGTCCTTTAATCACTGTTACACGTTTGGATAAAAAAAAAAAAAATGAGGGGATAAAAGAATGAGGGGATCGTTTTTGTGCAGAGCAGAGTCAATTTGACCAAAACTGTTAAGCCACTGGCATGAGTACAGTGTTAAACCTTTTGATATTCCGTGGTTTTTCATTCAAATACTTTCTGTTTTCCCTTTCTGGTATCTCTTGACTAATGGATTGCTAAAAATTGGGCTATTTAGGTCCAAATATTTGAATGTATGTGTTCACAGAGACAATCTTTCAAGCCTTCAGAAATTCTTATTAGGATTTCGTTAGGTACAAGGAATCTGTGGGTGAATTTGGGCCTACTAACATCAGTGTAACACCCAGTCTTCCCCTGCAGAAGGATGTCTGCTCAAGCCTTCTTTCACCCTCTATTAACTTTCATCATTTTCTTTGTACCTGTATTCATGTGAGCTGGTTAATGCATTGACTGTATTCTCAAAGAGAACATAATATGAAATATAAAACAAATCAGATATAAGGGAACAGGGAGTGGTTTGAACTGTGGTGAACTGGAAAACACATGCCCACCTAAAGGTATTCAGATTCATTTTTAATTTAATGCATACCATCCCTGGCTGAGTAGCTCAGTTGGTTATAGTCCCGATACACCAAGGTTATGGGTTCTAACCCTGGTCAGGGCACATACACTAATTAACTAATGAATGCATAAATAAGTGGGACAACAAATCAATGTTTCTCTTTTAAAAAATCTATAAATTAAAAAAAATACTTGATGCATACCAAATCAAACATGTTTGTAGGCAGCCAGTTTATGAGTACTGATCTATATAGTTTTGTTTTCTTTCCCTCTCCAGTCTTAGAATTACAGCTTAGAAGCTCAA